TTAACGGATTTACCAGTCCCGGTCTGTTAAAAATAATAATATAAAAATAAAGTCAAAATTTTCCGACGAAGTCTAAACGAAAGTTGTAGAGCATAATTTTCTCTACGCGTGCATATAAAGAACGTCAAAAACGGAGTGCGTATGAGAAAGTTATGGATTTTACAAGATTGGGCACATTTTTCGAGAAATTCCGCATGAATAGTGATTGCCACGTCACCCTCGCTCGGAGTTGGCCACGTGTCCGAAGCTGCTGCGTGGCATGTCTGAGAAGCGACGCGTGTCGCACAGGTGTCCGAAGAAGCACGTGATCCTCGCATGCCACACGTGATCCTCGCATGCAACACGTGATCCGACCCTCGTGTCCTCCTCCCATTGGACCGAAGCAGCCGACCCAATCCGAAGCAGCCAGCTCTCCGGCCGAAGCTTCGCCCTGCTGTCGTGTGTTCTGAGCCTCGCACACATGCGCTCCTCTCCTCGCTTCGGATCCGAGGCTCGCACCTATATAAAGGGTGCGAGACCTCCTGGTTACATGTTTGAATTTTGGTCTTTTTCACCCCTTTCCAACATTTTCTTGCATTCCGACTTCCCCCGAAGCCCCGGTACTTATTCCAAAGCCCGAAACGCGGCCTGAGATTTCTGAGAAGCCCGAAAAATTTATCTTTTCGGTTTCAAAGCTCTACCTTCGCAGAGCCCGGTTTTCAAGAAAACTCCCGGTTTTCAACGAAGAAAGTCATATTTAAAGCCGAAGTGATGCCCAAATTACTATTTTGACCCCCGGTTATTTCTCGGTGAGTTTAATATATAGGAACAATTGTATGTTATGTGTTATATGTGCTATGTGTTTTTCCATGTTATCATCTCGAGTTGTTGTATCTGTTATTTTATAGCAAGGCTGTACCTCTGACTTGAAGTGTATGACATAAGCATCACTTGGGTATTGGTATGAACCGTTGACCATGAAGTGTATGACATAGGCATCACTTTGGCTTCGGTAGTATGCTAAGATAAGGATGAAAGCTTAAATATTCTAGCAAAATGATATTCTTGAGTATTTACTGTGCCATTTGTGCTGAAACTTTATTGATTTTATATCAAGTATGGAATTTGTTATGTCTCATTGATTAATATGGAAAGCTTTTCGCATTATACCTTTGTTGTTCCTTGTTCCTCTTTGCTTCTGGCATATTACAGTATATATATGGCATAACGTTATATTGTATCTATTATTGAACTCACTAAGCGTTATCGTTTACCCCTCTCAATGTTTAACTAATTCGCAGGAGATAAGCACCCAGTATAGTGATATACTGGTAGCAGATTTTTTTGAATAGTTTGAAACTACTGTATTGATAGAAGATTTTCGAATAGTTTGAAACTATTGTATTTTGCACTCCCATATGTATAAATCTATAGAATCCTGGGAAGTTATGTAATATATAACACTATGAGATAGTGGGTTTGTATCCAGTAGTTTGTAACAGTTTTATCAATATAAAATATTGTTTTATGAATATGCATGTAGCATGTTTCGGAATAACAATTGTCAAATATGAAAATTTGGGTCTTTCATAAATATGAAAGTATAGAAAGGGGTTCTTTCAGTTTGTCCAGACTATCTCGTGCAACTCATGCTGAGTGTGGATGTGTGGATGCGTGGTCATGAAAAATGGGCAAGGCTGTGTTTCCCCAAGGTTCGTTATAATATAATGACCTCTAATAGTATGAAGCCCATTAATAAATTATCAAAAAATAAAAATAAACTATCAATAACAATGCCCATTGGTTTTTTCCATTACAAGATGCAACAATGGTATTTTAACATCATAATGTCGGAGGTAAATATTTAAGCATATACATATATAAGTATAATTTACAATTAAAGATGAAATCTACTATTTTCCTTTATAGTGGAACTTCAAAAGCTAATTACCCTTTCATTGAGGATGTGATTGAATGGAGGATGCTTCTTTCAATGTAAACTAAGAACTTGCATTCCTCACTTTTAAGACACATTTGGATGGATTAAACTTTATTTAAACCCAATGCAATGTCAAGAATATTTCTTCTATGTCCACAATGAAGGCTTCCTCACGTCTACTTTTTCCTTTTCGTCAACATACACTTCAAGATTCCTTCTTGTTTGATCCTTAAATCATGATCCACCAAACACTAGTATGATGTCACAAAAGTTTTTGGTGAATGACATCTTTATGTTGAAAATTCTTCCTTATTTTTTGAATAAAAAGTTATCTTTTCTTTGTATATGTTTTCATTTGGATATGGTGGTGGCCTATACATGCATCCAGTAAGACTTCCACTTGAACCTTCTATTGAATCTACTTTTTAGATATCTATAGAAAGGGGTAACAATCCTTTTGGAACTCTACTGAAATCATTATAGCCGATGCACATCCTCCACAACCTATAGAAAGGGGTAACAATCCTTTTGGAACTCTACTGAACTCTACTGAACTCTACTGACTTAACCATCTTATTTACCTTAATGTTTATTGTTTTGTACTTACACTTGCTTCTTTTCCTAGTAGGTATGATCAGGGCATTGATGTTAAACTTGTGATATGATATATCTTTCACTATCCCAATCATGTATGCATGTCGATAAAGGAATACATCATAGTTACTATGTAAGAGTGTCAAAAGCTCCCTTTTTATGTTATATAGGAGAGATTCTCTTATCCTAGTACATGAAGTCATTATTGAGGACCGTTAGCCCCTTTGAATGCTTATATTCTTCCGTTTATCTCCTTATATGTAGGGATAAGCTTTGGCTGCACCGTTGCAAACGTAGTGATGTGTAAATGATTGTCGATGTACATTCTTCTTAGAGAACTTCATGAACTTGTTAATGGTTCTTCTTCTCAGTTCATCTTATTTGTTCACTTGTAGATTATTGTTTTTAAGGTGCATCTTTAATGGTCAATGACAATAAGGTGATGGTGGTGACCAACTATTGTAGATTAAGTTTTGGAAGAATTGACAGAGATTTGAGATGATCTCATTTATTAGTTGATTAACAAAGTACATTAGAAATATCTAATATATACATTAAATAAAATTAGGTGGGAACAAACTAACTAACTAACATAATATATAACAAGTAACTAACTAACATAACTTATGGTTGAAGTTTATGGAAGTATTTTTTAGCTAAACAACTTTTTATGTTTATTTGTCTTTAATCATGAGTTTAGATGAATGAATATTTAATTAATTGGCTAATTTCTTTGTTAAGTAATAGATCTTCAAATTAGCAAGCAACAAATGGTTTATGTCTTTGTTTTCATTTTACTTAAATCATGAAAGTATTTCCTCCATAATGGTAATGAAAGCATATTGATTTCCTTTTGGACTTGGTGGTTCTTAAATCTTAATGCTAGTTGATTTTCATCAATTATATGTTTCATTGATGTATGACTTTAACTAAAAAAAATATGTTATGAGCTTCTCTAGCCATTGTGCCAATAAGAAAAGCCTAGGTTACTTAGTTTTTAAGTCACTATAACCAAGTTAAATTAAATCACAAATATTGCACAATAACATCTAATGTACAATTATACCAATGCCAACTATCTCTCTCCTATTAATTTGAATCAAACTCTTTTCTGATTTACTTGCAATTTCCAAGTTTTAGTATAACTTGGTTTCTTTAAAACAACCAAAAGACTAAAATCCTCATTTTTATTTTTATTTTTATTTTCATTTCACGAGTGTTTTTACAAAGAGAAATCATAGAGTCGTAAATTGAACCAATCTTCGTGGATTTGATCCCCTTACCATTATAGACTATCTACCGTGCAAATTTTAGGGTTATTTATTTGTTGGCCTCGACAACCACCGGTCCGGAATTTTTATGGTGATTGCATGTTAAAGGCTTCTTAGAAGAATTAAAAGTTTTAGTAGAGCATATATGGCAATAGCATCAGTGTTCATATCAGGGGATATGTTGATACATGTTCGTATTTTTCTTGGAGAATTAAATAATAAGTAGTGGCAATACTTGTCAATGGTTTCATCATGAAAAAATTTCCTTGAATGATTTTATAGGAATTAAGAGTTGAATTAAACACGAGTCTTCAAAATACTTGTGGATTCCCACTACAACACCACATGAACATGAAGGAATACCTTAAACCATGTGTAATTCGGCCCAATTTCGAGTTAGTTTGGTGAAATACTAATAAAAATAAAAATAAATCCTATCCTTGAGATAGATTATACCATTTTTGTTGTATTTGATAAATTAAAGCACAGTCAAATTGTTTGTATCTCTAATTTGACAGTGTTCAAATTTCATGTGTGATTTGAAGGAAAAGAACACTATTAGTGATTATCTTAGTTAGAGAGTTCAAGATCCATCTTATCATTATTGGATTATTTTGTTACCAATTAGAATAAGAGGAAGACATGAATATGACAGAATGATTGTGCCAGGAACGAATCCGAGCTTGTTTTTAGCAGATATAGAAATCATCATTGATTGTTTCCACGAAGTAAATCTGACGTCATTAAAGACATTAGAAACAAAGACAAAGCTTGGATTATCATAACATACAATGAAATAGAACCCTAAATATTGAGAGTTGTGGAATCGTTTGAACCAGACTCGGGCATGATGAGGATTACGTGGCATGATGAGGATTACGTGAAGAAGATGAATGAAATGGGACAAAGAACAGATCAACCATACACTGATACCATGTTATTAATCTTTGGAAGAGATGAGAGAGATTTAAGAGGATTCAATTTATTGGAGGTCCTAATCCACTTGGTAGAGATAGAAGCGGCTTAGATTGGAAGTTTGGGGTCTATACGTAGGCGTTATTAACTAGTTTGATGAATTTAACTTTTAACTATTTACTAGCCGTTAAAAAAATATAATAATAATAAACAAACTTAATAACCAACATAATATATGCCAAATTACTAAAATACCCTTGTTCTCTTTGTTTGGGTCTTATTATTATGTTATTTCTAGCGGGCGATTGGGTGGCATTTTCTAACAAAGCTTTCTTCCTCAATTCAAAATCTCATACGATCGATTCACTAATTTACATAAGAAAAGCAAATTGTATTTATTCTTAATAATCACATTAATCATAAAACCACAAGAACAAACGTTTTTTTTGCTTCAATTAGATTTCAAGAGATGCTCACTTCCAACGCTCAAAAGGGCAAGGAGAGGCGCATTGGTGACAAGAGAAGCATTAGCAGCAGCCTCTTCTTTAACCTCATATTCAAGCGTTAACTTCACCACACACGATGAACCAGTGTCGTCATTTGGATTCTCCTTGATCTCGATCCTGATCCTATAAAGAATAAATCCGATATCAAGAAATCCTCCCTCCACTATTTCAGTCTCCTTCACCTTGTTCTCGTTATCCACTTTCGTAAACTTCTCTTTGTAATACTTAAACCCTAACCCTGCAGTTCAGATCGTATTATTAATGAATCATGATTTCGTTTACTGCAATTAGCTGTTGTTTGTTATTTGTTAAGAATGATCGGCGTTTTAGACGATGATCACTTACCGGGAAGTAAAGTGAGCTTGAGAATGGTACCGGCGCCACCGTCGCCTTCTTCAACATCAACCGCCTCGAGCATTTTTCCGGCGGCGGCCTTTGCGAGCTCGAGGGTGCCGTAGAGCGCCCAGGCTTTGCTCGCCGGAACCTTCACTTCTGCTTCTTCGGATAATGTTCCGAACATTTTTGTTATTGGTTGATGTAAAGTGTTCATCGGAGGTTGAATTTATACGACAAATGGAATAAATTAAATTTGATTTATCTTTCGTTTTATAAAGATTCCTAATTGTTTTATTTTGTTTTTTTCTCTTTAATTATTTATTTATTTATCGAAGCTGGCTGGCTGGCTTTTCTTTATTTTTTTCTTATTTTATTTTTGTTTTCAACGTCATTAGAACAAGTCATAAATTCCCATCGGTATTATCGTATTAAAGGTCGTTCGGTTTTTATTATATAAAAACGATGGATACTTGTGAATAGAATAAGTTGGATCGAATTGGAATATCTGATGACTGCTGAAGAAGATTAATTAAGTTTTAATTTATTTCACTAGACCTTTTAAATAAAATTTTCAACATAATTCTAGAAAACAAGGTTTATTTTCGCAAAATATAACTTGTGCCATATAGTTATACAGCATACAATGTTTGTATACATACAATTACAAGTCATAGCATTTAAATGTCAAATACAAACACAAACACATTATGTGGATAGGTTCAGATCATTGATCCATTAACATGTAACTTTGCATATTCCTGTGTCCAATTTAACTATTTAGTTCAGATAATCACATTTTTTTTTAACAAAATCAAATCATTATTTTGAATTTTGGATTGATTGTGGTTTATAAAATAAGAACCAAATATCCAAAATAACACAAGTAACATTTAGTTATTTATTTTTAATATATAACTTGATTCATTTATTAATTTATTAAATTGTCTTTTAAATAGATTAGAATGTCTCACTCTATATAAAAACCTTAATAAATCATTTATTTAAGTTGACTGTTAATTTATTAAATTGTCTTTTTAATAGTGTTTTGGAGTTGGGACCTAGTTGACTCGGAATGAGTTTTCTATACCTTTTATTTGTATCACTAATCTACACACAAAAGCACAAGATGACATGGTTTATACTTTATACAATTGGTATAAATGATTCAAATACTAATGACATCACACGCTATAACATATCGAATATGCAATTAGACAACTTTTAGTCAACCTAAAGTTTTCATTTCTACAAGATTAAAGGTTCACATATTTAACTTCAAAATATTCATCCGAAAATCAACAGGTCAAACAAGTCAAAGTTGATCACCCATTTTCAAGCATGAAGAAACCCGTTTTCATCCAAGTAAGAAACTACTTGCCCAGCCATATCACATGGTGTAGGACAAACTCCATCTTTTTCTTCAATCATAATCTACAAAAAAAAAAAAAAAACATCCAATTTTACACAACGTACACGAAAATGACAGAAAACGACCTTGCAAAATGTACCTCACAATTCAAAGGTGGTTCATAAGGATCATCAATCCCAGTAAAGCCTGCAATTTGTCAAGATTACATGAATGAGAGAGAACTCATAATACAAAATTAGCAATTTATTTTACAAGAATTAATAATTTTAAATAAAAATGGCACCTTTAATCTTCCCAGCTCTTGCAAGCTTGTAAAGACCTTTAGGATCTCTTCTTTCACACACTTCAAGAGGCATGTTCATGAACACCTGCATTTGTATATATATAGATAAATTTAAAATTTAGCTTTTTTTTTTTTTATATAAACACAGACTCATTTTATATAAAAACACAGAAAAGAAGAATTGCCTCGATAAAATTTGCATCTGTCAACATTGCACGACATGCATCGCGATCCTTTCTGTAAGGAGATATCAGACTGGCTATACAGATTAATCCAGCATCTGCAAATAGCTTAGCTACTTCTCCTAAATATGATTAAAAAATCAACAACTTTAATAAAGAATTAACCAAATCTTTTTGTATAAAACTAATAGTTTATTGTAGATTAAGTTTAGTAAATGCATACCAACACGACGAATGTTTTCAGTTCTATCTTCGGGTGAGAATCCAAGGTTTTTGTTTAATCCATGTCTAACATTATCACCATCAAGAACATAGGAAAGTTTTCCTCTGGAGTGTAGTTCTCTGTTTAATGAGCATGCAAGTGTACTTTTACCTACAAAATAGTGAAAAACAATGATGAAAATGTGAATTAAATGGAATAGGAAAGTTGGGTGTTTGAGCACATACCTGATCCACTGAGACCTGTGATCCATACAACACATCCCTGTTGGTTGATTAGGTTTTGTCTTTCGGTTTTCCCAACTGTGCTTTCATGCCAGAAAATGTTTGTTGGATTGCCCATCACAGACATCATAGATCCCTAAATCCAAGAAAACCTTGTAAAGTTTACTAATTAAGTGTTATTGATTTAAAACCAATAGAGATTAAGAAGTAAGTATAGGTTAATGTAGCTGTTCTAAACTACAGAAACAGAAATGGAACTTGATACTTGATACTTTATACTTGAGCTATTAGCTATAGTTATAAGCTGATCACAAATTAAATCGCTATATGATAAGTAACTCGATGTATCAGATGCATCAGAAAAAGAGGATCGGTAAGATTCACACCTAAAGTTATTCGAGTTGATGCAAGTTTTCTTTTTACTGATAGTTACAGTCTTTGAAGAATCAAAGGTGATTTTGTGATTGACAATTTATTCCTCCTTTGATAACCAGATTCTGAAACCTCCAACCGGAATAAAAGCAATTATGCACTAATAAACCATTTGATCAAGCTGTCATGCAATTTTCTCACACATATCATTTCCAGTTTGCTATATATCCTTCCGTTAATTCCGAAAAATATACATAAAAACATAACTACAGAGTTTCAGCAACAACTCATACCGAGATCAGTAAATCGCTAACACCTCATCTCCAGTTAAATGTCGAAATGCGAATAAAATTGTAAGTAACAACAAGAACAGTAACATAAAAGTAATTCACTCCTAGGAAAAAGAGAAATGGTTGAAGAAAAATACCTTGGGGTTGAAGGAGACGGAATGAGGTGATTCTGAAGAATCGAAGTCGTTGAATGCGAAGATGATGATTTAATTTGCGGAGGTTTTAATGCAATTGATGAATGAATATGGACGTTTTTGCAGGTATTATTATGAGTTGGTTGTGAGTGCGGTGGAATTTGGAATCCAAGCAAGACTTATAACCATTTTAGGGGAAAATAGGATCTCTTAAATTTCATGACCAAACCTCTCTCTCACTCTCTTTCTCTATCCTACGCGTATGCCATTTGCCTTGGTTTTTGCAACTCCCGCTCTAAAATGCGCGCTCGGTTCCGTGATTTCCGCCTCTGGGCTTAGGCCTTAGAGAGACAAGACCCTACCAAAAAAAACGGGCCTATAGTGTCGGTGGCTTATATATCTGCAGGCCAAAATCCAAATTCCATATAAATTAGTATTCAGGATCTAAAAAGTTTCAAATTAATTGAAATTTAATGGATTTTGAACTAGATATTTGGTAACTTTGGTTGAAATAATTGAGATGGACTAGTAAATTTGTAAATATAAGAATAAGAATATACTATTAATTTCAATGGTGAATTCATGATTGGAAGGGATGTCGAATCTAATTGACCTAACAAAACAAATGGATCAAAATAGTTTTTTTTTTCAAGTCGGGTTGTTAATAATAACATCTAAGGCTAATATAATATTAAGTTTAATAACAAACTACAAACAAAATTTAAAAACTAGTAGTTGATGTCTTAAAATTAAATTTAAAGCAAATAACAAAGTATATTGATATACAAATATTAAAAAGGGAAATCTCCATTTTAGTCCTATTATTTTGTCCGCATTTACGAAAAAGTCCTAAACTATTAAATGTTAACGGAAAAGCATGAAATACCGGATAAACCGGCGAATTGACCCAATTTACCCGGTTACCACTCTTGCAACCGGTGACAAACCGATGTGGCATTATTTTGCTTACATGGAAGCTGACTCGACCATACCTCTCTCTCTTACTTTATTTACCTCAGTCTCTTACGTTATTTAAGAGTCCACAAACCCTAAATCGACCAAATTGCAAGTTTTGAATATGGCCTCCTCCTCCTCCGTCTCCAACAGTAGTGCATATAGGTCAGCCAGGCAAGTTCAAAGAAGGTGCGATTGTGATGAACCAGTTGGCAGGTGGACTTCATGGAAACCGGAGAACCCTGGAAGGAGATTCCTTGGTTGCCCCAATTACAAGATGAGTGTCTTCGAATCTTTGAATGTGAGGTTTTTATCTTCATGGAAACCGAAGAACCCCTATATTAGTTAAATGTGAGGTTTTTATCTTCAAACCTTTGAAATTTCCCTTAAACACCATAGTAGTTACACTGTGCAAAATGTCGTCCAATGCAGGATATGGAGAAGGATTGCAAATTCTTTGAATGGATAGATCCTCCATTACCAAACAACTGGTACAAACAGATGATCTATGATTTTCACAACCATGGAATTCATGGAGTCAATGATGAAGAATTTGAAGACTTTATGGATGAAGATGTGGAAGAAGTAGTGCAAGTGATATTGTCGTATTTATACATACTTTTGGGCAATATTTGAATACATTATATATATTTTTGGTTATTTGCATGGAATAATGGTACTTATAACGCTAAATTATATTTTGCAGTAAAAAAGAAGGCATTTTGAAGAAAAGGGACTAAAAGCGTTAAAGAATGGAACTTTGGAGGTTAAAGGCTTGAAAGATAAGAAATTCAGAAAAATACGTACTCATGAGGTTAGTATTAAACGATTCAAGGCGTGAGTTAGGCCTTCTAGAAGAAAAACATCGCGGATCAGGAATTCGTGTTGAATACGGATATCTACTGGATTCACGAGGTGAGCCTTAAAAGCTCACGACGTGAATCAGGCAAAATCCAAAAACTATATATATCCTTGATCCCTACGACTTTGGGAGGTTAGCTGACTTGGAGAAATTCCAGAAGTCGAAAATCACAGAAAAAGAAGGCCTGGGAATTGTTCTTAACACCAAGGAGGAAGAAGAAGTCATAATTCGATATTAGTTTGGTACTCTTAATATGTTTTTTACTATGGATTGTTTGTGTTTATTTGTTAGAATGTCCAGCTAAATCTAGCTGCTTCTGTTAGCTAGATGAAGCTGGAACTCATGGTTTTATTTTATCAATCTAGACTTTGCTTGTTGGTTATGTCTAGTGTTTGATCGGTATACCTAGCATGCTTGATTTGATAATTAGATTGCTTAAACTTCTCATTCTATGTAGTTAGTGACCATTATTCTGCATGAATTTGAACAGCTAGTAATTTAATGAACAATAGATTGTTAGAGCTAAGATCGAACCAATCTTAGTTAAGGAATTGAATTATTAAATTAGTATGTGCTAGAGAACTCATATTATGACCATAATTTGTGTTTGTCAACCCAATCTTACATAGCTCCAATATTATTCAATAATTGATTATGTGTTAAATTATGTGTGACCATACATAGATCTACATGAATTAATTGATATTAGTAAATTTAGAACTGAATTGCTAATAATGTTTTAATTGGTAACCAACGGGAGTAGTCATAATTAATTTATAAAACCATTGAGGGAGAGTGGATTCGAACTAACAGAGATGTTTTGTTTATTGATTGAATTGTGTTAAGAAATTAAGTTCATCTAAACTTGCAAAATTAGATAAAACTCACTACTTTGCTAGGAAATTAGGTTAATTTAATAGTAGGTAAATTAATTAGTTAAAACCTTTCACTGTGATCGACACCCGACTTACCTAAATTATTCTATAATTTGACTAGGTACACTGCCTAGGTGCAAATTAAGTTAGTTAAGTTAGTTAGGTTATAAATTTAAAATTAGGTGTAGCTATTTGCACGCATCAGCAACAGATTCATCTGCAAGTGGAAGGTGGAATGGTTGTTAAGGGATGGAAGATTTGGTGTTTGGTTGGTTTGATTGCAATTATTTGGGTTATGGTTATGTAATTTTAGGATGTTTACTTATGTTTCTATGTAATGTTAGGATTCCCTGTTTCTTTTGGAATGTAATGGTATGAATTGTGAAAAAATTGATCTTCTAATGTAATGGTATCTGAGTATGAAATGCATATTTGGGTTATGGTTGTAATTTTAGGATGTTTAATTATGTTTCTATGTAATGTTAGGATTCCCTGTTTCTTATGGAATGTACATACAAAATAACTATAGGAAACTGCATTACAAACAATACAAAAGTACATACCAAATAACTATAGGAAACTGCATTACAAAATATATTTCAAATAACATTATAAACCATACCAAACTACATACCAAAGTATGTCATAGTGTTTGACTTTCCAAGAAATTTACAAAAAGGGAAATTTTTACCCAAAGAGTTATATAAATCCAACACAATGACTTAATTACAAAAAAGGGCTACCATATCACAATCATTTGCCCTATTCTAAATTAAGTGCTTTGCTTTCACTCATCCCAAATTTGCTCACCACCTACTTCTTCAACTTCAACTCAGTTATCCTCTCTGATGGCTTCCTCCTCCTGATTTGTTGGGTGTTCCTCATCCTGCTTTCTTGGGTGTTCCTTCTCATGATTTCTTGGGTATCCTCATCATTCTGAGTCTCTTCTTGAACATTGACCTCTTCTTCAGTCACTGGTACTTTTTGAGTCTCTTCTTGAACATTGGTTTCCTGAATAAAAAAACAAATAATTTTAAAAATTGGCTTTGATTTGTAATGCCCTTAAAAATAAACACTCACCACATTTAAAGATCCAAACTCCTTCAATTGAGATTCATTAATTCCAAGAGCAGACATTATTTCAGCATCACTATAGTTTGATGACCTCAAATTTAGAATGGAACTTACTATTATATCCATATATGATATATCAATTCCACCCCCTCATCCACAACATCAGGTTTAACCTCAACATCAGGTTCGACCTCAACATCAGGTTTAACCTCATACTCGGGTTTAACCTCAACATCAGGTTTAACCTCATACTCGGGTTTAACCTCAAACTGTGGTCCATTTATACTTCCCCCATCTCACCTCTACCACCTCTATTGCCTATACCACCTCCTCTTCCACCTCTTCCTCCCCTTCCACCTCTTCTACAATGGGTAAGATTAGGATCCAACTTAGGCCTTCCCATTTTCTTCTTTGGTTTTGGTTCAGGGATCACCTTGGGATTTTTGCAAGAGACCTTATTGTGACCTTTTTGTTGGCAGTTTGTGAAGGGTTTTGAGCATTCTAACACTCCTATGGTGTACATGCAACCCTATAAACCTTGGATCTATGTTTTCTCTATTATACATGCAAATATTCAATATTCCAAGGTTTCATCCTAACTAGCATAATATGAAGCAACTATACTACAAGAATCTAGTAGAATGACATACCTCTTGATGTTGTAGCTTGATTCCATGGAGCTTAAGAGCCTAGTGCCTCAATTATGACACCTCAAATGGTTCACACAACACCACCAACAACTTGGAATAACTTGAGAGAGAAGTTCTTATGCTCAAATCGGCTAGCCCTCATGTGTAGGGCCATGGGGTCCTTATATATTGTGGCTATTAGGGTTACACCATGTAACTCATGTCTTTCCATATTCTTCATGCTCCATGGATTAAAACCTCCATGGAGTATCCATGGGTTACTCCATGGGTTTAGCCCAACATGAAGAACTATGGATCATAAGCCCACATATATAAGAATGAATGATTTACACAATCAATCCCCATATATTTAATTAGTCTCCTTTTGATCACAAAATTAATTCCAAATTAATTCTTGATCAATACTAATTAAATAATATGATTTCATATTAATATATTAGAACTTATAATATATTAACAAATCATAAATATCCTTTTTCTCACAAAAGTCTATCCAAGTTGTTCCGATGCCATGCAACCCAAATGGACCATGCCAATCGGGTCAAGTACATACCAATTATAGTTATGGACTTAGACACTAATCCAACAGTCTCCCACTTGGATAAGTCTAAAACTATTATTGTGTATGACTCCAAAACCCGACTAGCAATCGTAGATCTTAAAAGTTGTTGTCGAACTCTGAACAAATCAATGACGCGTCCATTAGATAAGGGATCATATATTCCTCCATTCTAGAGATCATATGGACTGAGACATGGATTATAATCATTCTCTCTGTCCATTTGTTGTTTCCCGATTTCCGATTTATGACGACCGACTAATTGAACAAATCAAATCAGTCCAGGCTTGGCCAAGCACTTCGGGCTGTCATCACTAAATCATCGAGGGGCCAACAGATATCGCTTTTATCCCTTTAAGGGTAAAAGGAATGGATAAAATTCGACTCATAAGCTTGTTCTACTACTTGTTGAATCATACACAAAGGCACGTTTTATAACATCGAGTTACCAATGCGTTTTCGTACAATCAATGTATAACCAACTCATAGGCAACAACTCATATCTCTAGGTTTGAAGAATATAAGATATTATCGTCTCATGATCACTCGTGATAAAATCCATGAAGTGAGTCAAATGAGCGTGGGTTTAATCCAATACTCAGAACTTATGAGCACTCATGAGTGTTGTAGCAACTCTTGCTATGTCCAATACCTTGGACATCTACAAACCAGCTTCATGACAGTTTTGCCTTAATACCTACTTCCAACGTATTATCGACTGTGGATGGTTTAAACAAATTATTCATTCAGGAAGAACGACCTAGTTATTCTAGAAGTCAAAACATGCAAAGTGAAACACAAGAATAATCGAATCCAATATGGTCTTAGAACTTATGAATATAAATAGAACACCTTTTATTTATCACCATATTGATTACACATTATTCATTTCATAATGTTTCAAATTTATCAACTTAACACTTGAATTAAAACAATAGTTGTCCCATGCTCCAAGCATGTACACTATGTTTTCTAAACACTAGTCATGCCATACACCAAGTACGCACACTATGTTTTTCCAAACATTAGTTATGCCATACACCAAGTATGCACACTAAGTTTGTCTATGATCTTTACTTTGTGAAATAGATCGATTGAACATAATTCCAATGATTCTCATTTCACAATCTCAAATCCTTACCGCAAATGCAAGAATTCCAAATTCCTGCCATTTACCTAAATCTGATAGATTTTAAACTTATATGCACTGATCCTCTTGTAATGATTATGCACAAAGTCACAAAGACTTGTTAACAGTCATTACAGAGTATTCCAATGGAGAACATTCCATGGAAATGAAGTCTCAAATTCAAAGTACATTGCTTTGAACATCCTTCTTGCATTAAGTTTCCTAATCTTACACAGATTTAATGAATAACTTCCACCTATGGGAATATTTTCATATTCTCATTTTAACTATCACTTCTGAACAAGAGTTGCCTCCTTTTAGAATATCTCAATCTGGTCCTCTCCAAAAATTTACACCATACTTCCAACTGTCCCTGAGCAACCAATCTTTGGTAAACCTTAGATTGTCCTCGACAATTGTTTAATTAAATTAGTCATATCCAGTTCTAGTGCTTTTTCCCACTTAATGCTCTAGGCATTTGGAAAAA